ATAATCATCATCCTCGATCCTTCTTCCTCCTCGGCGATGGCGGAGAAAGGGTAGAGGCGAAGACTTCGAATGAGCTAGAGCAGGCGTGCGCTGCAGGATCGGTGGGATCGAGTGGCTAGACATTTGAGAACATGGCGTGGTGGTACATCTGCCTAGATCTTCTCCCTCCTCCCCCCCGTCTCTCTTTTCCATGCCCTCCCATCCCACACTATCCCTCCCTGCCTCGTTCTCTCTACTTCCCTTCCTCATGAATCTGACATTTCTCAGCTCAGAATTCCATCCAGTCGTCAGGAATGCTGCCAGGCCCATTCTTCGAAGGATCTGTTGCCTTCGTGCTCGATGCGTGCACGCTCGGGGCTGGACTCTGCGCGGCGGTGCTCGGGGCTGGACTGTGCGCGGCGGGGCTAGGGGCTGGCTCATCGTCGTCATCACCATCGGCCGTGGCCTCGACCGTGGCCTTAGCCCTGGCCTTGGCCTTGGACCTCAGCCTGATAGCCTTGGCATCGGCCAGGGCTTCGGCCTCGGCCTTGGCCTTGGCTTTGGCCTTGGCCGCGGCCTTGGCCGTGGACTTGGCCGTGTACTTGGCCTTGGCCGTCGGCGTGGCTAACGGTTCCGTCTTCTCCTCGGCGGCGTCCTGGGTACCGTCTGAGTCCTCGGGATCGTCCTCGTCCTCCTCGCATCCGTCGCCATCCGCATCGGTGGCGACCTCATCCTCATCCTCCTCGGCGGCGTTCTCGCCGGCCTCGGCGTCGGGCTCTGGCTTGTCGGCGACCTTTGCTGCAGGCTTCTTCCCGACGGGCTTGCTCTGCTTGTGCTCCTTGAGCCATTGCTGCTTGTGCGACTCTATTTGCGGCTTGTCCATCTCGCCGCTGACGTATTTCTGGCCCCAAGAGATACTGACACGTTTAGCCTCGTCCTCAAGGTGCTGCGGGTAAATGAACTGAAACACTTGGCCCTTCCCCTTTGTCATCTGAATCCAACGAACATCCTTTTTGTTGACGAACTGTATCTTGACTGTCTCACCATCCTTCTCTTCGTTGAAAAACTGAAGAGATCCCTTCGATGTTTTGCAATCATCCATGTCACCACTGGTATTCGGTATCTCCCAGCGCAGGCCGTCATCAAACACAGCGATCAAACATGTCTTATCGGAAGACGGCGTGGCAGTGACGTACTCGGGGATAGCCGCCTCACCGATCTTGTAACGCCAAGCCCCCTGAGGAGCAAACGGGTTGTGCAGAAACGGGCTTTCCACATCGAGATGCGCGTGTGCGTGTGTGCCGATTTGTGCCCCAATAGGCCTGGATCGCGCCAGTGTATCCGAGGTTCCACCCGTCCTTGACCTCCAAGATGGGCAGATCCTCGGACTGCCTAATCTTTTTCAGCGGCCTGCTCGAGGGCCGCTTCATCACGGGCGATTCCTGAGAACACAAACGATATCAGTTTCCATCGCAATTTCCATCGCAATGGAAATTGCGATGGAAACTTGATCTCGCTCCGTGGGCACCTTCGCACCCTCGCATCGATCCTCGCTGGTGGCCGACCGTTTCGGCTCGGTGGGCTCGTAGAAAACTTTCGCCCACGCTGATTTCCTCTAGGGCACCCCCTTCCACCCCAATGGACATGCAAAGCTGGTTTGTGCGAGCTCAGGCCCATGGCCCAAGCCCCCAGGCTTGCACGTCTCACGTGGGATGGGATGGGGTTCGGACTTCCGAGGTCTTGAGGCACGCCTGATCAGCGTGGCGCAGAAGGTTCCTGATTTGGTTTGACGTGTCGCTGACCCAACTCCCCGCCGCATCTGCCAGATGCCAATGCTCTTCGTTTCGCCGCACCAGCTCTTGAAGTAAAACCTCGGCCCGTCAAACCAAACCGTGTTTTCTGGGGATGCGTTTTGTCCAGGATGGGCGCGGTTTGATTTTGGTTCAGTGGTTCCCAGAACCGTTCGCATCGGCTTGGGCACCGTGCGACAGCAAGATCGGGTGTCCCTGATAAACGCCGCGTGTTTGACGAGCAAGTCTTGGCTGGGCGCGGCGTTCTCGTAGCACTCTGTCGTGTATTGCAAACTGTCAACCTCGGGGGGGATAGGATCTGTCGATCACTCAGTTTTCAAATCGGTGTTCGAACTGATATGTTATGTTTAGGTTTGGTTTGATCTACCTTCGTGATGTGGAACGCCCAAATCTGCAACAACCGATCCTTCGAGCAGTGCCCCGACATGCCAACTCGCCCCGCACATCTATGAGCCCGAGCTGAGCCAAAATGCCTACGGATAGTTTCAGTTTCAATTCGTGGCCGATGCATCTGGGGGAGGAGGATGAAGAGGATGATGATGAGGAGGAGGAGCATGAGGAGGGGGAGCAGGAGGATGAGGATGAAGGGGGATGAGGAGGAGTAGGAGGATGATAAGGATGAACAGGAGGAGGATGAGGAGGGGGGGTTGCTCGGGGAGGATCGCGGTATGATTTCGTTTTGCGAAGGCCTTACGGTTTGTGCCGCCGACCTTGAATGATGTCCACGAGGAAGAGGATGACGAGGAGGCTGGAGATGGAGGGGGTGAAGGAATGGGACGAAGCAGACGCAGCGCCGCAGCCGTCCTCGAAGTCGTTGAACATGTGCTGCGCCGCCATCGCCGCCACCTTCCTCTGCTTCAAGACGCTCCCCTTCGGGGGAGGGGGCACGGGCGGAGCAAAATCCATCGCAAAATCCATCGCGATGGATTTTGCGATGGATTCCGAACGGGAGGGAGGTAATATACAGAGGAAGTGGGGAGGAAGGAGGAGTGAGGAGGCGGAAGAGAAGCATGATGACGAGGAGGATGAGGATGAGGAGGAGCAGGAGGGTGAGGAGGAGGCGGAGGACCAAGGGGCCAGGCGGATGAGGCGGCGGCGGCTGAGCAGGAGGAGTAGGAGTTTGAGCAAGAGTTGGAGGAGGAGGAGGTTGAGAATGAGAGGTGGTGAGGTGGAAGGGTAGGATGGTGCGGTTGGATACGTGGCCTGGCTCGCGATCGATGCGAGGCTGCGGCTGTCCTCGTCGTCGCTGTTGTCCTGGCGGCGGATGGGGAGGGCGGAGGAGGGGGAGGAGAGGTGATTAGGAGGAGGGGAGAGGAGGAGGGAAGGATGAGGAGGGGAGGAGGAGGAGGAGGAGGAGGGAGGAGGAGAAGGGGGAGGAGGAGGCGGAAGGAGGGAGGAGGGAGGATGGAGAAGGGAGGCGGGAGGAGAGAGGATGAGGAGGAGGGAGGAGGATGAGGAGGATGAGGAGGATGAGGAGGAGGAGGAGGAGGGGGAGGATGATGAGGAGGAGGCAGAAGAGGATGGGGATGATGATGCGGACGATGCTGCCGATGATGATGATGATGAGGAGGAGGAGGAGGAGAAGGACGATGAATGGGAGGGGGAGTTGAGGACAATCATGGACGACGCGGGAGGTTGGGTTGGGAGGGGGAGGAAGAGGACGAGGGGGAGGATGAGGAGGAGGAGGAGGAGGATGAGGATGATCACGGTTGAAGCCGCCGGCGGTCCCCGCTGACCGATGGCGCCGCTGACGGAGTCCGCGTCGAAGCACACGAGGGCGTCAATCCACCGCGAACTTTGAAGTCGGGGCCCACCCAGCACTTCTCCTGGCGGGAGGCAGGGCGGGCGGTGAGACCGACATCGAATCTGAAGTGAGAGCCGATAGTTGAGATCGACGTCGGATCGATGGTGCTGGAATCGAGAAGTGAGATCGACATAGAATCGATGCAGTGAGAATCGTGACGTGAGATCGACATCGATTCGATTGGGTGAGAATGGAGAAGAGGTGAGGTCGACATCGTTTGGTCATAATCGAACGACGTCGAGTGGTAGCCCGATTGGACCCAGGCGATCCCCGTGCTTCTTGTCGGGCGCACCCTTGCTCTCCGCGAGAGCGCGCTCGTAGTCGTGCTCGAGCTGCTGGCGGCGCTGCTCATCAGCCTCCTTGGAGGCCATGCTCTCCACGAGCGCCTGCTCCATCTCATCGGCCTGGGTCTCGTCGGCCTCGCCCTGCACGACAGCGGCCTCGCCGTCTGCCTCGCCCTGCACGAAAGCGTCCTCGCCCTGCACGAAAGCGGCCTCGCCCTGCACGAAAGCGGCCTCGCCCTGCACGGTGGCGGCCTCGCCCTGCACGAAAGCAGCCTCGCCCTCGAAAGCGGTCTCGCCCTGCACGGTGGCGGCCTCGCCCTGCACGAAAGCTCGTTCGCCCTGCACGAAAGCGGCCTCGCCCGCGGCGTCGGCCTCGCCGACCACTGTCTCGATCTCGTCTTGTTCGTCCGCCGTTGCCTGCGCGCCACGTCCGCGCTGCATGTCGACACTGCCGCGGCGAAGCGCGCGGCCGACTGGCGTGGTCCACGCCCTCCGCGGCAATAAACCGAACCGATCGTTCGATTTAGGCATGAGCCAAAATGGCTAGACGGAGGGGTGAGGATGCAGAGAGAGGAGGAGTTGTGGTGCAGACGACGATGCATCAGACCGCTTTGCTGCGAGCTACCAAAACAATAACAAACGCGTCAGACGGATGTGCCAGCCAGTGAACGAAAGACGGTTCCAGGACCAGGAATCACAGACAAGCTGTTCGGGGCTCGCATGATCGTCCTAACGGCCAATGCCGCCGTTAACGAGAACGCCCAACATCGAAAAACGCAATATAGATTGGCAGTAGGCTGTGGAATTGAACTGATGTGAGAATGACATGATCCGCGCCATGTTATTTTGGCACCAGGCTGTGAGGATTATCTTCGTTGACAATAAAAATCCGCCACGCCGTGTTAAATTGGCACCAGGCTGTGAGGATGGTCTTCGCTTACAATAAAAAATCCGCCACGCCATGTTAAATTGGCACCAGGCTGTGAGGATGAGCTCACTCTTTGATGTTCCATTGTTCTTTTGTATTACATGCTATATATGTATATTGTGTTGACTAATTCCGATCAATAATTATTCTTGGTTCCAACATCCGATCGATATGTACGTTTTGAAGATATCAACATGAAAAAAACGATCCGATCAATAATCCTATGTTTTCGGACCTCAGGGAAGAAGATAGGCGAGGAGGTGCAGGTTACGCAGACCATGAAGGAGTTGGTCGCGAAGTTCTCCTCCAGGATGGGGTGGATTGACGATGTCGTACCGGCGGCCTTTCTTGTTGACTTCATTAGCAAGTATGTGGAGAGCGAGGCCGTCGACAATATCCAGTCGAGGGCAGGGGGCACAGTCACCTTCATGTGCCACCAGGCCAGGGTGGATACACTACTCCGGGCCAGTGGAGCTGAGGGCGTCTTCATCAAGAAACGCAACGTCGATCCTCTTGAATTGCTTTGGCTTCCGGAGGACACGAGCTTGAAGAAGGCCCTGGACTACGCGTCGAAGCCGGACGCTATGGGCCTCGCAGAGAAGGGCAAGACTGGCCGTTTGGCCATCCGGTTCGAGGACGAGGCCCAGATGGAAGCATTTGCCCGGAAGCACAACATCGACTGCATCACGGGGGTTGGGCGGTGGAAGGTTACGGGTCTACCAGTATCCATGGGCACGGCTGGGATGATCGAGCTTCTTATGGCATTACGGTGGGAGGTGAAGGAGATCTTGTACTATGACGCCAAGCAGACCGTCTTTCTAGCGCAGGGCGTCGGTAACCATGCTCCATCTCATTTCCTCTCGCACGGACAGCCGCGGAGCATCGAGTTCAAAGCCCCCAACGCTGCGGCCAAGAAGGCTGCGGAGGAGTCGGCTAGGGCATCGAGGGATCCAGCACCGAGCACGGGAGCTACCTCATCGACCCGTGCGGCGAGACAGCTGAACTTCTTCAACGCGGTGCAGCCTGCGTCTAAGGCTCAGGCTGAGCCCAAGAAGGAGGTGAGGAAACCGCCGCATACCGGCGAGACTCCCCCGCCGAAGGAGAGGAAGAAGGAGGGCGACCAACAGTTGTAGCCTTGGCGATGCTTACTGCAGATACTACTGGAGTGGACTGTGTCGAACAACGGCTGGTCATTGAACTCTACAATCCAAATGGGCTGGCTAAGCCAGGGATTTATGACAATATCCTCGCCAGAGGCGCGGACGTCATCGTTATCTCGGAATCACATGCTACGACCTTTTTACAAACATCTCTTCGTAACAGATGTGATACACATGATGTTATCTGGGGCGCACCGGCGCCGGCAAAGTCGTACGCTGGCGTGGCTGTATTTTGCAAGCGGGGGACGGCATGGGCGATGCAGAAGGTTGCTTTTAAGAATAAGGACTGCGACACATATGCTGCTGAAGGGAGGGTGATGGCAGTACAGATCTGCAGGGGTGCTGGGAGGCGGTCAATTGTTATGTACGTTATTTACGGTTATGCCGGATCGCGCTGGGAGCAGCACAAGCGGAGACAGACGTGTACAATGTTACGTGCAGTTGCGGATGATGCCAGAATGCGCGGTGATGTGCCGACTATGATTGGAGGGGGTATCAATTTGCAGGTTACGGATGTGCCGGAACTCGTACGGAGAATGGGCAACGAGGGATGGAACGATACGAATTTATGGGGCGTCGGTGGGAGGAACATGGAGCCGACGTGTACAAAAGGAGGTGGATCTCGAATCGACTGGGTCCTTGCGAATCAGACTGCTTCAATACTTATGCGACGGTACGAAGTACAGCCGGGGTTACGAGATCGAGACCATCATTTCGTGAGGCTGACGGTGGCCTTACCAGTGGCAGCACAGGTACACTACATGCCAAAATCTGCTGGGTGCAAAGCGGAGTATTGCAGACCGGACTCTGGCTATGTGCCGCCAGATTTGGACGCTGACCCGATGATCGCAGATCTTCTACGACAGGGAAACGTGGACGGGGCCTCGGCACGATGGTGCAGGAGGGCGGAGGGGCGTTTGGGGCTTATCCCAAGGAAATCGGGCCGCGGGGAGGCGCCCCACGACTGTGAAGCAGGAGCAGTAGGACACGGCAGGGGGAAAGTACGCATGGGGAAGGTGTGTGTGTTTCCGCCGGAGGGCAAGGGCGACCCTGCTGCGGCGACGCTGGAGGCGCGGAGGCTTGCCAGGAACATACAGCGGTGTGACGAGCTTCTGCGTATGGAGAGCTACGGTACCAGAGCCGACAGGACGTTTCACAACATTATTTCCGATTGCACGGCCAAGGAGAAATGTGCCACCCTGGGCGTTCGCAAAAACGACCTGGGGAAACCCAGGACCAGGCAATCTACCCAGATGCAGTGCGACGCGCCGGCGTCCACCCAGCTTTCTGTTACGGCGCCGCCAGAGCAGGCGGAATTCTACAAAAAAGTGCAGGCTGCTACGACGACGGGGCTTACACGAGATGCAATTGGGAAGGTCCGGGAAATTATCGTGGAAGAACATCGACGAGTTGTCCGTGCGGCGGAGAGGGACAGGATTCGCGCATGGAAGCGCCGGTTACAGTCGTCGGAGCGGGAGTCGTGCAGATGGGTTAAAGGTGGGATCAGTGCTGGGCCCGATGCTATGCGGATGAACGACGGCGCATTTACAGCAGACAGGGCGGAAAAACTGGATGCGGTACTTCAGGCTTGGTTACCAATATTGCAGAAGTACAAAAACAAACAGGAGGATGTGGATGGATTTTTGGGGCATTTCAAACCGTTCTTAAAATCTTACTCGATGCGGATCTCTCCTTTGAAGTGGACGGACGTTGCACGGGTGGCAGCAGAGGCAAAACCATCGGCTTGCAGCCTGGACCAATGGCGTCCGGAAGAGCTCAGTGCACTGGGGAGGTGGTTTCCTTCTTTGTTTCGCGACCTCACAGACATCCTTAACTGGGTGGAAAAGACGGGGGTATGGCCGACAGAGTTGCTCAAGGCGTATGTTGCGCTGATCCCGAAGGACCCGACTTTCGTGGAGCCGGCGGCTACAGACTGGAGACCAATCAGTGTGCTGAGTGGGATTTACAGAATATGGAGTGCGGCTAGATTTTAAGACTGTCTCCCATGGCAGGAGAAGTGGGCCCCGGACAATATGTGTGGCTGCAGGCCGGGTCGGAGTGCAGAGGCTATGGCGATGAGCATCGCTATGGATATGGAGGCCGTGGCGTACGGTGCTGGAGAGTACGTGGGTGGTATCAGCTACGACTTCAAAAAGGCGTTCGACCTTATTCCTATGGAGATCGCACTGCAGCTGCTGGAATGCAGGGGAATGCATCAATACATACTGGGACCGTTACGGGGCATGTGCAAAGGACTGCGGCGAGCTTTCAGACTGAAGGGGTCGGTTGGTGATTGGTTTCAAGCCCACAGCGGTATTGTACAAGGCGATGCGCTGAGTATGATAGCATTAAACAGTATTGTCACATGTATTTTGGAAGCGTCTGGTGCACATAAAAAGGATACCACAACAGACAGATCGTACGCTGATGACATATCTTCTGTGACGGTAGCACACACGGCGGAAGAAGTACGGGAAGGTATACGTGGTTTCCACAGTGTGGTGCGTGCGTATTGTGCCGCTGGAGGTGGGGAGCTAAATATGAAGAAGTGTTTTACCTTTGGGTGTGTGTGTGTGTGTGAAGGGGGTCCTCGGCGAGGAGGTGCAGCACCTGGCAGAATTTCGCATTGTAGGCGGGTCTCTGGTTGCGCGTTCAGGGGCCACTACTGTTACCGAGCTGGAGGGTCAGCGCTTGGAAAAGTGGAAACTGACAGCTGGGCGCGTGCGAATGGTACCTCGGCCATGGGCGGATCGTGCGCGGATGCTTCGGGCTACTCAGGCACAGGCCTTTTTCTGCCAAGGTACGCACTGTCTTGTCAGCGACGTCTCGGCGCTCCGTAAGGTCAGGACGGTGGTTATGCAAGCTTTGTGGAAAACCGACAATTATTCCATGAGCCCGGCAGTTACTTTTGCCATACTGGCTCCGGTCTACCTCGACCCGGAATTTGCGGCAGCGTACGAGGGGCTACGGACGGTTATGCGCACCATGCGGAACCCGGAGGTGGCAGCACTTATGCGTGCACGGTTTGGGCAAGTACCTACCACCCGGCGGGGCGGGCCTGTGACGAGGCTACGGGTACTGAGTCGATCGCAAGTTTTTGGGCCAGCGGTTCAGCAATTGATGGATGGGAACGTGGGGAGCGAGGAGGAGGAGCAGGCATGGCTGCATTCGTTGAGGGATGCATGGAGGAGTATGTTGTGGCACCGAGTGGTCAAAGACAGGGGTCACCAATATGGAGGGGCATTGGAGGTCGACAGGCAGAGGACAATGGCGCTCCACGACGAATTACGGCAGGCGGCGGAAGGCAGAAACGACCCACCCGGGACGGGAAATTTTGTGGAGTGGGGGGAGCAGCAGGCGGATGAGGAGGAGTGCCAGGTGAACGACGCAGCCATCGAAGCGAGAGTCAAGATGGGCGTGCTGAGGCGCATCTTGGCAGGGGGTTTGCTGACCAACGAGAGGATGGCAAGACGTCGAAAGGACGGTGGGACTACAGAGTGTTATTGTGGAGCGAAGGAGGCAACCGTCGAGCATGTTACATGCGACTGCATCATGTACAAATCGGAGCGGGAGGCTTTGCTTCAGTTTATGCCGAATCCAACCACATTGGATACTTGTACCCGTTATGCTGGTATTATCCCAGTGCACAGTTCGGTCAATGTTATACAGGTGAAGAGGCTACACGAATTTATGATTGGGGTGTGGCGCGATCAGATACGGTTATGGTATGGAGCTGGGGATGTGGTTGCGACGAAGACGGCTGCGGAGGCCAAGGGTGACCGTGCACAGATTGAAGAAAACGGTCGCCATCTGGAACCGCGAGAAGGGGTCGAGGGACTGTGGTGCAGAAAGTGTGGACGCTACGTTACGCGAGTGCAACATGTGCGCCTTAAGATTACCAGCAAGAGGTGCCCATATGCAGACCTACCCCCGGAGAAGTGGATGACAAAGGAGGGCGCGAGCACATCTGATGCACGACTGGAGGAGGCAGAGCGTGATATGAATATGAAGTACAATAAAGGGGGACATATTTTGACGTGGAACCGCAAATTGGGCAAAATTGCAGGTGCCCCGGATGAGGGCATTATCAAATGCACGGTATGTGGGAAACAATGGAGATGGCGGGACAGAGTTAACAATTTACCGCGCACGGTATGCGTACAACCATCGAGCAGTTCTACTGGGGAGGGAGGCGGAGGAGGCGGAGGACGAGGAGGAGGGGATCGTACACACGACTGTGGTGGGACAGCCCAGGCATCGACATCCGGACATGCTGGACAATCGGCGGGCAGAGGCAGAGGAGGAGGACGAGGAGGAGGAGGAGGAGGTACAGCAGCAGCCAAGGCGACAGTTCCTGGAGCTAACACTTTTGCTCCAGGAGTAGGCAGAGGAGGACGAGGAGGAGGGGGAGGAGGAGGAGATGGGGCAATAGGCGGTGGCAGAGGCAGCAGAGTACGAGGAGGAGGAGGAGGACGAGGTGGAGGAAGAGCGGCAGCAGCAGCAGCGACAGCATCGCAGCCAGGTGCAGGTGGAGGACGAGGAGGGGCAGGTAGAGGACGAGGAGGAGTCCCAGCAGTGCCGGCTGCCAAACGGCAGAATGCGACGACTGGGAGGGGGTTTACACGGCCCAGACAGGGTGAGGGGTGATCTATGCTACGGCTACTAGCCTTGTGGCTGCGCGCCGCATTGCTAAGGCAAGTACCAAGTTCTGGGACCCCGCAGGCTTCATGAAGGTCGGCGACGCCGCGGCCGTCAAGAGGCGCCGCGAGACAGAGTTCAAGCATGGGCGCGTGAGCATGCTCGCCACGATGGGCTACATCACGCCCGAGGTCGCTGGCAAGCTTCCTGGCGAGATCTCCCCGTCTCTCGGGGTGAAGTTCGAGGCTGAATGCCGAGATCGCGAAAAGCCGCCTGGCCATGATGGCGATCAGCGGGATGTTCTTCCAGGACGGCCTCACGGGCAGCGCCTGGGGCGACTGGGCGCTGTGCACGGACTCCCCGCTGCGCGCCTTCGAGAGCGAGCTGGGCGTGCAGGCGCTGGTGGGCGTCTGTGCGACCCGTCGAGGGCTCCCGGCGACTACGAGGACGGCGGCGTCCTGGGCGTGCCCAACGGCAGCACCTTGCCGGCCGGCGAGACCAAGTCCCGCGAGCTGAACGCCGAGACCGCGAACGGAAGGCTGGCGATGATGGCGATCATCGGGATGTTCTACCAGGGCGGCCTCTCGGGCAGCGCGTGGGGCGACTGGGCGCTGTGCACGGACTCCCCGCTGCGCGCCTTGGAGAGCGAGCTGGGCGTGCAGGCGCCAGTGGGCTTCTGGGACCCCGCAGACTTCACGAAGGACGGTGACGCCGCGGCCTTCAAGAGGCCTATCGGTCTCTACAGCACCGACGCCACGGTCAGGCAGCGCAGGTTGAATGCCGAGATCGCGAACGGCCGCCTGGCCATGATGGCGAACCTCAGCGCCATCTCCGAAGTCCCCGCGGCAGGCTGGGGGCAAATCGTGGCCAACTGTACGCTTTGCGAGCTGTTCCAGGACCAGTCTGCTGGCACCGATGTCTCGGCGGGCGACTTCGACTGGGAGGTGCTGGCGGCCAGCGTCGCCGCGGCGAGGCGGTCGAAGCTGGCGGCTAAGATTGCCAACTTTCGTCTGGCCATCGCGGCGGTCATCGGCGTGCTCTTCCAGGATTTGGGCGCCCCTCCTCCTCCCCTTACCTCCCCCGTCACGGGGCCAGGAACGCAGAATTTCGAGGCGGCTCCAGCCGTGGTGACCAGGGCGACTGACGACCATCCGGAGGATTCTGCCACGGCTGAAATGGGGCCCGTTAGGCCAGAAGGGAGCGCGGTTTCGATATTGCCGAATCCCCGATGTGAAATGGGGCCTTTTAGGCCAGATGCAAGTCGTGGCGTCTCGAGCCCCAGCCCCGTCCCCGACGACCGCCCTCAGCACGGACCACCTCAACGCCCCGTGACGACGACAGACGACCATCCGGAGGATCCTGCCGCGCACAACGACATATCGGAGCATAGCAGCAGCAGCGGCGACAACGTGCCCCCCCCGTTTCGTCGACAGACGATGACGTCCAAGAGGGGGGCCGAGAGGCGGCTGAGGCTCAGGTCACGATACCGCCCCCCGCATCGTGGCCAGACGATGACGCCCCAGTGGGGGATCGAGAGGAGGTAGCCTGCAGTGACCAGTGTACAGCTCACACTAACGACCCCCCTTTCAGCTGCACCAGCAGGCCAGAGGAAAGGAGCAGGAAGTCACGGCGGAGGCCGCGGAAGCCGCGGAGTACCCCCCATCAGGACAATCAGTCCGTCAGCAGTCCTCTGGGAGAGCCACGCGCCCTGCAGGGGGGCCACGGAGCAACCGCCCAGACGCAGGACAGCGAAGCCATCCGCTGGCTCGTCGGGAGAAACCTCTTCGCGCCTATTCGCCTCCCTTCCCCCGTCAGCGAGCTTCTTATGGACGGCGAACCCCAGGCGCCCTCGCCAGGCGTCCAGGGCACCACTGGCGAAGCAGCTTGCGCCCCGGCGATGGAAGCTGCGCCGCCGCGTGTGCTCGCGCTCGGCACAACCAGTGGTGCCCCAGAGGCCGGAGAGATTCCCGCGCTGCCCAATGGGGGCGCAACTGGGAGCGACGGCGGGCGCAGGCCCGAAGGCGAACGCCAGCGAAAAGGGCCCCCCCCCCCCCACCCACGCGCCACAAGGCTGCGTCTGCCCTGGCCGCCCGACGCGACCCGACCCCAGCCTGGCGGCCAACCGCGCGGCCTGCACTTTCCCGCCAAACCCTGCCAGGCGCGCAGCTGGAGCTGTCGCGAGCAGATCGCGAGCCCCCCAGCCAGGACAACGAGGCCCGTACGGTGGAGACTTGCGCCCAGGATACTCGGCGGCACCAGAGGCCCGACCCGCGTCAATGGCCAGAGCCTAAGGACCCCGACGCGGGACAACAGCTGTACAAAACAGGAATCAACAACTTCCAGTGGGACCTCCCCAGGGAGACACCTGGCGAGGCGATGCGTCGACTCCGAGTCACACTGGGACCGATGTTCACGGGCACCTGGCACGCTTTCGCCAAGCGGCAGCTTGTGCCCGGCAGCAAGGGCGCGCTCGACCCGCTTCGGCACGACCCGCAAACCTGCCACCTCTTCCCGGAGTCCTTCCGCAGCCACAAGTGCGACGCACGGGTCCTCAGCGACGCGCTGGGCCTCGACGTCGACTGGGCTCGGCCGTGGCAGCTGCGCCGGGGTCGGAGCGGCAGAGTGAACAGTGATCACCACGCAGCAAAGGGCCACCCGAACCACCAGGCCCCCAAGGAGCGCAAAAAAACGCAGGTGGGCCGTCTCCCCACAGTAGCCTCGGCTTCTGTTTCGTTCAGAACTTCTACCTCTTCATCTTGGCTGTTGTCTACGTGCTGCGCGTGTGGCTATACCGTCGACCTCAGTATTTTTCTCCTCTGTCTGCGTGTTGCGGGTGTGGCTATGCCGTGGGCAGTCTGGAATTCCACCTTGAGAGCCACTTTCTCTGTTGACTACGCGTCGTACACCGTACTCATCAGCGCGATTGGGGGTCTCATTCCTTCTCCCTCTTGGTTCTGACGTGCCGTTGTCGGACGTGCCGTGCAGCTCCGTGAAACGACCATGCAGTTCCAACGCGACGACGACGAGCACAGTGTGGACTCTGCGACTGCAGTGTGAAGATTGGCGTGTCCCGCGGATTCTCCTGTTGCTTGCATCCTGGCGCCGGGCTCCCTGGGGGGCCGTTGCTGGTCCCGGGTCCGCCCTCTGTGGCTCTGGTACTCTCGCGTCCCGTTTCCGTCGGTCTGCGGGCGCGCCTACAGAGTTCGGCGGCCACTGGCTGTGCCCCCTCTTCCTTATCATTCACAATGTCTCTGCGGCTCTTGGCAGCGCCCCCTACCGGACTCATTCGCAATGACTCTGCGGCTCTTGGCTGCGCCCCCCATCCTGTTCGCGCAGATTGCACCAATCACTGCGTGTCAGGCAACTGGGAGACGGCAGTATGCGAGGCGTTCGGAGAAAGACGATCTGAGTCCATAAAAGTCGGCAGCGCTGGCCCCCCACCTGGAGGACAGGCGAGCAGGCCCCCCCTCGCGGCGACTGAGGCGCCACCTCAGGGACTGCTGTGGGGAGAACAGAGAGAGGACCCAGAGCAGGCATCACTGCTCCAGTGGGCCGCCCTACCCCCCTCCTCCTCCAATTCACCTGTTACTGCGGCTTTTGGCTGCGCCCCCCTTCTTCCTCCTCCTCCCCTCGTGCAGGATCCGAGTTCAGCGGCCCTTGGCTGCGCCCCCATCCCTAATCAAGATTCACCAGTGTCTGCTGCTTCTGGCTGCGCCCCCGTGCAGAGTGTGGTGCCGAGGTAGATTTTTTCACAAGTCCCTGCGGCTCTTGGCTGCGCCCCCCATCCTGTTCGCCATGATTGCACCAGCTCTGCGGGTCTGGCAACCGGGCGCACCCCCCGCGCCCTGGGCTGTGGCGGCGGCAGAGATTGCACCGAGTGGTTCAGCCTTCCGCGTCCATGCTCGTTCGCTCTCCTCGGCGCAGCCACGGGCATGGAGACGGTATTTGCGACGAGGGGCGTGGAGTGATCTTCGGCTTCTCCTGCGGCTGTGCGCAGAGTGGCCGCAAGATGTTCCTTTGCGCCGACGGGAAGCATGTGCCGCCAGCACCGACGACGGAGCCGACCGCGACGCCTGACCCGACTCCGACTGCGACGCTAGCGCCAACGACGGAACCGTTGACGACGCCTGATCCGACTCCGACTGCGACGCCAGCGCCGACGACAGAGCCGACTGCCTGATCCGGCTCCGACTACGACGCCAGCGCCGACGACCGAGCCGACGGCGACGCCTTATCCGACTCTGACTGCGACGCCAACGCCGACGACGGAGCCGTCTGCGACGCCTGATCTGGCTTCGACTGCGACGCCAACTCCGACGACGGAACCGACGGCGACGCCCAATCCGACTCCGACATGCGCAGTCTGCGTGTCGCAGGGGCTCGTGTGCGGAGACGACGGCTGCGGTGACTCGTGCGGCCAACGCACGTCGCCAGAGTACTGCGCGGGCAGCGTGGCAGGTGTGGTACTGCGACGCCAGCGCCGACGACGGAGCCGTTGACGACGCCTGATCCGACTCCGACTGCGACGCCTGCGCCGACGACTGAGCCGATTGCCTGACCCGGCTCCGACTGCGACGCCAGCGCCGATGACGGAGCCGACGGCGACGCCTATTCCGACTCCGACTGCGACGCCAGCGCCGACGACGGAGCCGACTGCGACGCCTGATCCGGCTTCGACTGCGACGCCAACGACGTCGACGGAGCCGACGGCGACGCCCAATCCGACTCCGACATGCTCAGTCTGCGTGTCGCAGGGGCTCGTGTGTGGAGACGGCGGCTGCGGTGACTCGTGCGGCCAGTGCCCGTCGCCAGAGTACTGCGCGGGCAGCGTGGCAGTGTGGTTGGGTGCAGCTGTCAGCCATACACTCGGTGTCTCGGTATTTGGCTCCGCCAAGTGGGCGACCCTGCGTTGAGTGGTTCAGCCTTCTGCAGTTCGTGGTCGCTCTCATCTGAACAGCTTGGCTACCAGCCCTCGTCAGTACTTTGCAACGTTGTGCCCCCGAGCTGCGAGTCGGATACGATGCGCATGCACTGGCTACCGGCTGGATGTGGGTCAGCCTCGTGGGCGAACACCAGTGGTCTTTCTCTATTGGAAGGCGCTCCGACGTGGTCTAGCCACACCTCTGAAGTGAACGGCCCTGCATTCAGTGGTTCAGCCTTCTGCAGTTCGTGGTCGCTCTCCTCAGAGCAGGTGCCTTGGTCAGCGCTTGCAACTTTGTGCCCCGATCTTCGAGTGTCGGATAAGTTGCGTACGCTCTGGCCGCAGGCTGGAAGTGACGGTATCGCATGTTCGCTGACTGGGTATCCTCCGCTCTCGCGTCCATGAGCGGGCAGACCCGACGTCTGCGACAGTGAGTCACCGCGAGTGAGGCCCCCTCAGTGCCGCCGTTCCCTTTTTCCTGTAGTTGGGTGCCCGTCTGGCGGCCGCGGCGACTCTCCCGCTTCCTCTTGCCTCGCTCCCGTGCTCTTGCCTCGCCTTCCGTGTGTCTTGGCCGGAGTTTGGTGGATTAGCCGCCCCGTGCTGATACAGTACGGTCCGTGCTCCGTGCCTTTTCTTGGTGTGTGGTTCGGCTGGAGCTTGGCGCCGTAAGGGCGACTGCTCCTTTCCGTCCGCCACCGGTGCCGCGCTTGCGTCCCTATCCCCTGGGATGCCTGCGTCGGTCCCCTAATGAGGGTCACTTTGTCCCTGGCATTTGCACTCGCTTCAGCGGCCTACGTGCCTCTGCAGCCAATTATCTCGCTCTGTGGCCCAGACGTTCATCCCGCTCACAG